TGTGCCCGTTGCGGTCCACGGCAACGCCCTTGGGGCCCATCAGCCGCCCCGCGCCCAGCTTTGTCTGGGGGGACAGACAGTCAGGCTGGGAGGTGCCACGGACCACCTGCCCCACAGACCCCTGCAGCTTCCACTCACCTTGAACTTGCCCTCAGGTGAGAACACACTGACCCAGCGGTTGTCGTAGTCGGCCACAATGATGTCACCATTGGTGTCCACTGAGACCCCCGTGGGGCGCTGGAGCTGACCCGGGGAGCGCCCCCGCACCCCGAAACGCAGCCGGAACTGCCCCTCGTTACTGAACACCTGGGAGGGCAGCAGCGGCAGGGGATCAGGGGGAACGCCCCCACGCCTTGAAATGCAGCCAAAATTGGAGAACAACTGTGGGGTTGGGGGGAGCAGGGGGAGTCAGTGGGGCTCCTGGGAGAGTTTGTGGATCACGGGAGGCGAGGGGTCCAGGGGTCCGTACCTGCATGCACTGGTTGTTGTTGTCAGGGTCAATGGGGATCAACAAGAGTCAGTGGGGGTCTGGGGGGGGTGTGGAAGTCCCAAGGGGGTCCATACCTGCACGCACTGGTTGTTGCTGTCAGCCACGACGATGCGGCCGGCACTAGATGTGGAGATCCCCTGCAGGTTGGTGAACTCGCCCTTCTCCCGGCCACGGCTGCCTGCAGGCACCAGTTGGGGCACATGGGGCCCAGGAGAGCACTCACCGCCCCGGTAAACCCCTGACACCCCCTGGTGCCTTCCACCACCACCAAGGGAGCCATGAGGAGCCCTGGGGAGTCCCTAGGGAGCCCTAAGGAGCCCCCACCATCCCAAGACACCACTGCACGCCCTGCTCACCGACACGAAAGATGAGCTCGTCCTCGATGGGGTTCTCCTTGCGCTTGGCGCTGCCGTACATGCTGGCGGGGCGGCGCAGCGCCTTCTGCCGCACGTGCCCCCCGCCCGGGGACTTGACGCGGCGCTTGGCCTCCTCGGGGGACGGGGGCACGTCGCTGGGGCGCAGGGCGCGCGCGCGGAAGGGGGAGCCGCGCACGGGCTGCCCATACAGCAGGATGGACAGCACAAAGTCGCCCTCGGTGCGCGGCGTGTACACCAGCTCGTAGGTGCCGTTGCGGTTGTCCTGCACCTCGGCCTCGGCCGCGGCGCCGTCGGGGCCCGTCACAGCAAAGCGCAGGCGGGCGCCGCCGCTGCGCACCAGCGCCCCGTCCTTGTCCTTGGTGGTGACGCTGAGCGAGCAGGGCTGCCCCACCACGGCCTGGCGCAGCCCCTCGCCCGTGGCCACCGTGGTGTGCGCCGTGGCGCTGGTGGTCAGCAGCGCGCCCAGGTTCTGGATGGAGCGGCGCAGCCCCTCGGGCTCAGCGTGGAACTCGAGCTGCGCGTTCTCGTGCGGGTGCTCGGGGAAGGGCCGCGCCGCCAGCTCCCGCAGCCGCTCGCCCATCTGCTTCTGCACCAGCAGCACCTCCGTGGCTGAGCCGTGGTGCAGCGCCTGCTCTGTGAACGCACAGCTGCTCAGGATGCTCTCCTGACCCTGCCGCAGCACCTCCAGCTGTGCCTCCAGCACCTGTGGGAGCAGGACATCACCTGTGGCACCAGGTGCGACCCCAGTGCCAACACCCGCACTTGAACCGCATCCTGGCCCTGCCGCAGCACCCCAGCCGCGCCCCCGTGCATCCTGTGGGGACAGCACATCTCTCTGGTGTCCGTGTGGGACGCCCACACCCAGCACCCCAAACCACTGCTCCGTCTGCACCCCCACCTGCACCGCAGCCACGGCCATAACCCCAGTGCTGGTGCTGCACTGGGACCCCAACTGTTGCACCAGCTGGGCCGCTGGCACTGGGGTACGGCTGGGGTACCCACACCCCCCAGGAACAGCTGGCGAAAGGCACAGAGCCCCAGGTGTGTTACCTGCTGCTTGGCAGCACAGGTGGCCTCCAGGTCGCGCAGCAGCACCTCCCGCCGCTGCCGCAGCGCTGCCTCCAGCTCCTCGAAGCTGCTCCCAATCTCTGCCTCGGCCTCAGCCCGGCGCTGCCCCAGCTGCCGGCTGATCTCGGCTACCAGCCCCACAGCTGCTGCCAGCTGGGGGAGCCTGGGGAGACATGGGGACCCCCTGAACTCCCAAACCCCCAGCAACCCCACCCTGAAGCCCCCCCACAGCACCCTCACCCAGCTGTGGTATTCTGCAGGAGGATGTGGGCACTCCCTGAACCCTCAAACCCCACAGTACCCACGACGCCCTCAGCCACCCCTCCCCCTGAACCATGTGTGGGTGGCATCAAGCTGGCGCTGCAACCAGTGGGAGTGGGGCCACGGGGACCCCCAGAAACTCCCTGCCCCCCCTACCTGGCACGCACAGCGTCGAGCTGGTGCTGCAGGGCTGCCTTGTGCTGCTCCAGCACATCACGCAGCGGCACGGTGCGGTGGTCCCGGTGCTCCCGCCGCTCCCCCTCCGTGCACTCCCGGCACATGGCTGTCTCGCAGGGCTCGCAGTAGAACTCCATCACCTGCCACACCTGCACTCACCTGCTGCCCCACACCTCAGCCCACAGCAGCCTGCAGCCTGCCCCAAATCACCTCCTGAGCCCACACAGTCTCTCCCAGACTCCCTGGACCACTGCAGCCTCCCCAGACCCTCTCTGGAGCCTTTCTCCAAGCCCTGCAGCCCTCCCGACCCCTCGTGACCCTCACAGCCCTTCCAGATCCTCACAGACCTCCTCAGCCTTCCCCAGATCCCAGCCCTCCTAAAGCCCTTCCAGCTCCTGCAGGTGCCCAGCTCCCCAAGTCACATCAGCCCTCAGGACCTCCCCGTCCCCCCTGGACACGGGCAGCCCCACAGGCAAACATCCTGAGCCCCTGGGGTCCAGCACAGCCCTCCCAGCCCCTCGGGCCCACCTTTCCCTCGTGGTTGGGACAGCACAGCGGCTGCCCGGTGGCGGCGCCCAGGGGGGGCAGGGGTGCAGGGGGGGCCCCGCGGGGGTCAGGGTCCCGCTGCAGCACCTCCATCAGGTTGGTGATGAAGAAGTTGTTGGGCAGCGCCGGGACCCCCCGCTCGGGCAGGATCGAGGTCTGGCGGCACACGGGGCACGACAGGGACAGGCTCTGGGCTGGAATGTAGTTCTGCAGACACCTGGGGTCACAGGGGTCACCGGGGTCAGGGGTCACACGGGGCATGACAGGGACAGGCTCTGGGTCAGGATGTGAAAGGGGCAGGGACGGGGGCTGTGGGGGCACAGGCGGTACGTGGGACCAGAAACAGGGACAACAGGGGGACAGATGAAGGGATGGATGGCGGGACAGGACCTGCTGGGGATGTGGGATGGCAGTGGGGGCAGAAAAGGGGCATGAAGGGACAGATGGATGGACAGACAGACAGGGGAATGGACAGGCAGGTTGATGGGGGACAGAAGGGGGAACATGCCACCTAGGGCTGCAGGCAGGTAGAGAGGGGGATGGACAGATGGGACACGAGGATCAGGGTGCAGGGCAAGAGCATGGGGATAGGCCTGGGGACCAGCAGTGGCACAGGGGCAGATGGATGGACAGGGGGACTGCACACAGTGACAGTGGGACAGGGGCAGCAGGATGGACACACAGGGCAATGAGGAACACAGGGAGAGGGGGGCAGCGACACAGACTGAAGGGTTGGGGTGCAAGCAGAGAGCACGGGGAGGGATGGACAGACAGACAAGGGGGCTGTGTGGTGGAACACCGGGGTGTGAGAACAGGGTGGGAGGGACAGACAAACCAGGGGACAGATGAACAAGATGGTGGGGCTGCAGCGTCACACTGGAGCACAGGAGGAGGACAGACGGACAGTCACGTGGGGGGGCTGCACAGTGTCACACAAGGATGGGAGACACAGATGGACAGACAGACAGGAGGGCTGTGTGGTGTCACACCAGGTGGGGGAGCGGCAGGAGCAGGCAGTCAGACAGATGGACAGGATGGACACAGGGCAGCAGTGCCAGTGCCCCTGGGGAGATGGGCGGATGGATGGAGCAGGACCAGAGGGCTCTGGGAGCACAGAGAGAGGGGGGCCATCAGCAACAAGACCCCGTACTTGGGAGGATCCCCAGCCATGGTGCCCCCAGCCCCCACACTCGGGGGGCTCAGGGGCTGTGCAGCTCTCACAGAGAAGCGGGATATGGAGGGCAGGGGGGTCCCAGCACTGCCATGGGCCATGGAATGTAGGGGGTCCCAGCCCCTACCTCTGAGGGCACAGGGAGGCTGGACCCCATCTCTCACTGGGGAGGGCAGGCAGTGCAGGGGGGCCTGGCTCACCACCAGTGGGGCTGAGGGAGGGCTCTGCTCACACGGAGGGTGTAGGGGGTCCAGGAGGGCTGCAGTGGGGCACACTGGGGTGCACCAGTAGCACTGGGGTACAGGCTCAGGGACAGAGGGAGATGCAGCAAGGCAGAGGGGGGCTAGGTGCACTGAGGGGCACAGGGGATGGATGCTGGAGGGGCAGAGCAGGCTAGGGGGTGCAGGGGGGCAGTAAGGACATGGGGGGTGCATTTGGAGGGTTGCAGTGGCAGGGCTGCAGTCAGGACTCAGTGGGGTGCAGGGGGGATGTGCTGGGGATGGATGCTGGCGGGGTGCAGAGCACACGGGAGGGGTGTAGGGGGGCTCAGAGACAGGGTGGGATGAAGAGTGGCTGCCAGGGCACAGAGGGTATACCGGGGGTGCAGAGGGGTGCAGGGAGGGGTCCCACCTCTCACAGAAGGTGTGCAGGCAGGGATTGGGCTCAGGGGATGCAGGGGGGACTCGGGAGGGGTTCAGGAGGTTCCACCTCTCACAGAAAGCGTGCAGGCAGGGATGGGGTTTGGGAGGAGGCAGGGGCTCAGGGTGGGTTTGGGAGCTCCCACCTCTCGCAGAAGGTGTGCAGGCAGGGCAGCACCTTGGGGTTGCAGTAGCGGTCGAGGCAGATGCTGCAGATCAGGAACTGCTGGTCAATCTGCCGCACCACCGGGCTGGCGGGCTCATGGCGGGCCATGGTGGCTCCTCAGCCTGGCAGGCCACACCACAGTGAGGGGCAGGCACCCTGCAACACCCCACGGGGCTCCCGGCACCCCACGGCCACTCCCAGCCCCAACCCACGGGCACCACACAACACCTACCCACCCGCAGGCTCGCGGTGGGTCATGGCAGACCCTCAGCCTGAGAATGGGGGGAATTTAAATGCTTGGGAGGCACTGCATAGCACCCTGCAGCCCACAGGGTGCCCCACAGCCCCCTGCCCACGCCGCAGCCCCACAGAGGGCCATAACGGACATTCACCCTGTGGCATGAGGGCTCAGCACCCCGGGCACCCGCAGCACCCACTGCGGGGCATCCCACAGCCCCCGGCCCCACAGACACCTTGTGGGGCACACACGGGCACTCCCCCCTGACCCCCGGGCACCCACGGCCGCACAGACACCGCGTCCCGCGGCACTGCCCTGCCCCTCGAAACCCACCGATCCCGCAGCCCCCTCTCCTTGCGCGCCGCGGCACCGGCCCCATCCACCGCCCGCCCCACAGGGCGCCCGCAGCATCCGCCCTCCGCCCCACGGGCACACCCCAGCGCCGCCGCCCTCCGACCGAGCCCCGCGCCGACCGGCCCCTGCGGACACTTCTCGTCCCCTCCCCTGTCCCCTGTGCCTCAGTGACCCCCGCAGCCGCTGTCCCCACCGCCCCCCGTCCCTCGAGCGGCCCCGCGCCCCGGCCCCGCTCACGGCGCTGCGGCGGCTCCGCGCTCCAGGCCGCGGCCCCGCCCCGGCCGCCATTGTGCGGCACCGCCCCCCCGCCCCGGGCCGCGGGCACGGCGGGCGCGGGTGCCGCAGCCGCGGGGTCCCGCCCGCAGCAGCCGCGGCCGCCGCTCGGCGGGCCGGGCCGGCCGGCCGCACTCACCCCGCCGCTGCCCCCTGCTCGCCCCGCGCGGGCCCCACGGCGCATCCTCGGCCCCGGCCCGGGATGCGACAGCGAGGCGGCCGGCCCGGCCCGCACCACCCGCGCTCCGCAGGGGGAGCGGCAGCGCGCCGCCGCCTCCCTGCTCCACGCAGCCCGCACCCCACGACGCCCCGCTCGGGATGGCGAGGCGTCGCCGCGGGACGCGCTGCCGTCCCCGGCTGGGGGGCTCGTGGGGAGGGTTCCGTGGGAAAGTGGGTAAAGCGACCCCTTCGGCTCCCCCCCAGCATCAGTGGTCTCGCCTGGGCTGTGGCTCTGCAGCTGGGGGGGGCTCCGCGCATCCAGGGGTACCCGGCTGTTGCCACGGCAACCACATCCCGACCCCGAATTTGGGGGGGTTGACCCCAAACTGGACGGAGAACAGGACTGGGGAATGTCAGTGTACGCTGGTGGGTGGGGGCGTGACGGGGCGGGGGGTCAGCGAGCGTGGGGTGACGGGCGGTATGAATTGAGAAGTAGGAAGAATATAAAAGGGGGATGAAAGGGAAGGTCAAGGCAAACAGGTGGATATAAATGGGGGCGAGGGGGATGCGCAGGCAAAAAGAGAGGTAAAATAGGGGTTATAGAGGGATGGTATAGAGGAGGTACAGGTGCGGTACAAAGGGGCTTGTAAAGCGGGGGGATAGGAGTAAAACCAGAGCAAATTGACCTTTCCCAGCCCCTCAGTTTGCAGGGAGCCCACACTTCTTCCCACCTGCCAGCTGCCACAGCTCCTCCTCCACGTGGGACGCCCTTCATCACCATCATCCCCCTCAGCTGGTACCCCTCCACCCCCCACCCGGTTCAGGACGTGGCAGCAAGCCCACCTGCTGCAGCTTCTCGGGAATTCCAGCAGCTTCTGGCTGCCTCCTTTGGGCGAGGCAGCTGGGGCACCGAGCGGGCACTCTTAGACAAGGCATCCTGGCAGAGCTGGAGTTGAGGGGTGCAGAGGAGGTGCCCCTGTCCCCAGCCACGTCACTGCTGGAGTAGGCCATGGGGGGATGATGGCTGCAGGGACAGGAAGGTGCTGATCCAGCCCAGCACATTTGGGGACCCATCAGGGAGACCCATCAGCTCCAGGATGGACCCAGAGCTCTGCCATGAACCAGCCCCCCAATAAATCTGTCCCAATCCACATGGGGGGCCCCAGCATGGTCCCCTGACCCTCCACCTTGGCCTCAGTGTCGGAAGGTTCTGCAGCCAGGCCAGACCTGGTTGTGCAGCCATCACAAGTGCCCCAGGAGCGAGGATGATGATCATGAGGGGGATAGGGAATGACCTGGCCTGGAATCCACCCCCAGGACCCCCCAGTCCCAGCCAGGCACCCCCAGAAGCAGCAAAAGGCGCTGAGGCTCAGCGTGTCCCACAGGCACCCACAGCACAGTGGGGACCAGGTGCTGGGACATCTGCAGCACAGCACTATCAAGTGGGCTCCTCTGCACCAAGGACCTCCTCTGGCCCTCCACCCTCACCCCCAGTGAGGCTCCTTCTCCCCGCAGAGACCCCCGGTCCTTCCCCAGTACCCCCCAGGAGCCGGTGGATGGGTCTGGGAGCACGGAGCAGGTGCCTGGGAACAGCCCTCATCCCTTGTGGGGCAGACACCCACCCGATTGCCCACATCCGTGTCTGGGGAGTGGCAGAACCCCATGGGAGGGTTTCAGTGTTCCGGGGGCCGGGGCAGAGGGAGAGGGTGTCCAGGAGGAAGGTTCAGGGGAGGTGGGGAATGTTCTGAAGGGAGTGTCCCAGGGGCCAGTGAGTGTCCTGGGGGTGTCCAGGAGCCCCAGGGGAGCAGCAACCAGAGCAGGAACAGGTTGAAGGGTGATGGGGGAGGGCACTGGATGGCCCCAGTCCCTGGCCTGGGAAAGGGGAATATATCCTGTGGGACTCCTGAGCTCTGGGTGCCACCAGTGGGACAGAGGTGATAGTGCCAGGAACCCCAGGCCGATCCCACCCAGCTTCCCCCTGCAGTGCCCCCCATCCTGTCCCCATTTACTCCCACCTGGTCCTGGTTCATGCTGGAGCAAGGGGTGGCTCCCCTCACCACACACAGGTGAGCAGGGTCCCCCCAAGCCCCGTGCTCACCCCCCAGAGCCATCTCTTCTGTGCTCCAGCTCATTCCCCTTCCGAGCCTGGGGCCCCCATAAGGAGCAGCCAGCCCCCCGTGCCCTAGGGCTCCATCAGAGTCCTCACCATTGTGGGGCTCATGCCCCCGTCTCCCACCCACCCTGGCAGCCCCAGCCTGCTGGGTGCAGCCCCTCCTCGTCCCACGGTAGCTCTGCACACACTGATCTGTACCATTTATTCGGGATTTTACAGAAGTCAGGGGGTTGGGGGGGGGGTCAGACCATCACCAGGGCGGGGCAGGGGAAGTCGGATCCCGACATTAAATTATCAGTTAAATTAATGAGCAAGAAAAACCAACAGTTTTGTCTCAGGAGAAAGTGCCCAAGTGCGGGGGTAGGCGGAGGCCCCTCATGGCTTGGGGGTGAACCCGGGCCGGGACCCCAGCCCCCTGTGTGCAGCACATGTGCCCCAGTCCCGGGACAGGCATGCGCCCACACACGGACATGCATGGACACGTGTGCACCCCCTGTGCCCCACGGACGTTTGGTCCCTGCTTGGAGTCCCCCATCCTCTTCTAGGGTGCCACGGACCTGTGCCTGGCCAGCGACCTCCCCTGCCTCTAGTAGCAGGGCACAGGGAGCCCTCACCAGCCCAGCCCAGGATGCCACAGCCCCGGGGAGGCAGGGGGATCTTTGGGGGGTGCAGCCCCCTGTGAATCAGGAGTGCGTGAGCGGCCCGGCTGGAAACACCTGGGAACAGCCTGGAGGGGGCCAGGGTGTCCCTGGCACTGGCGGGCAGAGCGGGAGCCCCGCTGCGTGCCAGGTGCAGCAGGGAGGCCCCACAGCCTCTCCCCGGCACAGGGGGGGCCCAGCTGCCCCGGTGCCGCCCCCACCCAGCTCCACTGTGCCCCAGGGCAGGGGGCTCCCTGGTGGAAGCTGGCAGTGGGCCTGGGAGGGGCGCGCCCTCATCCTGCCCCAGCGAGGCAGAGGGGGACAGTGGAAGGTCCTGGCTCACCCCAAGGTGAGTGGGGTGTCTGGGGACAGCAGCCCAGCGAGCCCCCTTAGGAGTGTCAGGGGCATGGGGGGCTCCAGCTGTCTGCTGTGGGGGGCCTGTGCTGAGGAGCTGCTGCACCCTGCCCTGCGCAGGGGCTGTGGGATGAGGGGGGACCCAACCCACTGGCACCTCCCCATACCTGGTGGCCCCCCTCATCCGAGAGCAGGCCTGGGCTGTGGCCCCCATGAGCCCTCGGCCACAACTGAGGTCCATGTGTGCTCCTCCATCTGGGGGGGGCACAGGGAGCTCACTGCTCCTCCAGCCAGGAGGGCTTCTCGGCGCCAGGGGTCTTGAGCTTGATGTTGAACTGCTTGAGGGTCTGCTCAAGCTGCTGCTGGTTCCCAGCAAAGTACGCAGAGATGGCGTTGTGGAACAGCAGCAGTTGCTTGTGCATCACCTTGATCTGGGGGGGAGGGGATCATGACTAGGAGGGCCTGAGCCCACCCCAGCAGCACAGAAAAGGGCTTGGAAAGCCCTCTGAGACCCCCCGAGTGCCACCACTCCCCCTCTGCACTGTCTGTTCCACCCAGTTCGTGTCTTCGAGTGACAAATGCAACATGGATGTCAAATCCCTGCAGGGACCCCATCCCTGTGCCCCCTATCCTTGCACTTCCCTCCCATCCCTGTCCCAAACCCCTCCTCCTCACGTGCCCCATCTCTGCATGCCCCACCTCTGTCTCGCATCTCACATTCCTGTGCCCCCCATCCCCACCCCACACCTCCCATGCCTGCACCCACCTTGTTCTCCTCCAAGAATTTGAGCTTGATGGCCACGTCTGCCCGCAGCTTCTCGTACTTGTCCTTGTGGCTCTGGAACTGGCTCTGGGCGGCGTCCAGGCGGCTCACAGCGCCGGCGTCGCGTGGGCCCATGCTCAGCTCCTCCAGGTCCGTGCGGTACGCGTCATACTCCAACCTGCGCAGAGCCCCGGCATCACCGACCTGCCTCCCGCCCTCCCCGGAGCCCTGAGCCCCCCAGGGCTAGCCCACCTGGCCGTCTCGTACTGCTTCACTGTCATGAGCGTGTCCTCCATGGTCTTGTTGACCAGCGTGTTGATGCTGGACACAAAAAAGTTGACGGCACCCAGCAGCGTCTCCCCATTCTTGCACAGCAGCTTCTGCGTCTCCGCGTTGTACCCAAACTCCTCCTGGGGACAGAGGGATGGGGGCACAGGTGAGGGGCCACGGATCACATCCCCACTCCCCTCCGTCAAGGGTGCTGAGGGAAAAGCCCCCTGAGACCACCGAGGCCAGCACCAGCACAACAGCCACTCCTGTGCAGATCACATTCCTGCCCTGGTGTCCAAGTGTGACTCCCCAAGTCCTGACCCCCACAACCCCAGTGTCAAGCCCCAGCTACCCCTGCCCCCCCAGCCCCAGAGTCCAGGTGTCCCCTCCAAGTCTGGGTGCTCCCCATCCTCCCGCAGCCCTGGTGCCCAGGTGTCCCTGCCCTCACCCCAGCATCCCCCTAGCCCTGGCACACCTGGAGCTCAGGGGATTTCTGGCTGAGGTCAGCAAAGGCGTCCCCCAGGGCGTGCTGGGTCTGTACCAGGCTGTAGAGGTGGGCCGTGAGCGCCCGTGCCAGGTGCAGGACGCTCTCGTACTTGCGTTTGGTCTCACGCAGCAGCTCAATCTGGGTCTCCAGCTCCAGGTCCACCGTGCGGGACCCCCGGCCGAAGCGCTCCGAGAGCAGCTGCTTGGTGCACTGCAGCAGGGGGACACGGGGCCCCAAGGCACCTGTGAGTCCCCCGAACCACTCCGAGAGCAGCTCCTCGTGGGAGGGGAGCAGGAAGGCCCACTGGTGTCCCCTCACCCTCACCTTGTAGGTGTTGATCCCCCACTTCTTGACAATGTCGAACTTCTCAACGGCAATGCCGCGCACGACCTCCTCTCCACCAGGCGGGGGTCCGGGGGGTGGTGGGTGCAGCCCGGGGCCTGGCACAGGGACAGGGACAGGAACCTGGCACCAGCTGCACAAGGGCGGCAGCCACGGGGACCGGGCAGCCCCAGCCTCCAGAGCCCTTGTCCGGGAGCTGCTGTTTCCACAGCAGCATGCCCAGCTCCAGGCATATGCCCAGCACTGGCTCACAGGCATTGTGGTGAGGACCCTGCTCCTGCCAGCCCCGCTGAGGGTCCCACACAGGAGCACAGATCCCAGCCCAGCCGTATCTGCTTGCACCAAGCCCTGCCCCGTCCTGCCGACTGCTGCCACCAGGCTGGACACAGGGGGAACACTGCCCAGTAGTACTGGGAGCCCCTCAGGTGGGCTCCAGGGGCAGGGTGGGCCCCCCTGGCCAGAACCCACCTCTGAAACCCCTGGGCCCACCAGTGGTGTCGTCCGTCCCAGCACAAGGACCAGCCCCAGGACCAGGCTCTGGCCATGACACGGCCGCCATGGGGGTTCTTACCAACGTCCCTAGGGAGGCCCGGGGCTCCCAGACCCAAGGGACGCCCGGGGTGGAGTGGGGGGCGCAGTACCTGCGGGAGCCGCGGCCGGGCGGGCCATCCTACGGGCAGCAGGCGCGCTGGGGGACACCGACGGTCCTCGGGGGGGGTGAGGGTGGACAAGAGAGCCTGGAAACGGGGGGGCTGCGGGGGCCGAGCAGCGTGGGGCAGGACAGGATGGGGGCACAGGGCATGGCACAGTGGGGTAGCCAGGGCAGAGGGACGGGGGGCAAGGGACAGGGGCGAGTGCGCGGGCGGGCGGCAGCGGGAGAGCGACGGCAGCAGGTGAGCGTTGGAACCCAGAGACACGGCCACAGCCTCACAGACAGACGCCCCAGCCCAGGAAACCCCCACCTCTGGCCCCCGTGCAGGAACCCCTGCACCCCAAGGGCTGGGTAGGCCTGGCATCACGGGCACGCTGGGACACAGAGACACAGGGACACCGGGCCACCAGTGGCGGTGCTCCGGGGAAGCGCACACCCGTGCAGTCGCCCTCTCTGCCCACATGGACCTTCCTCAGGCCCTGGGGGAGATCTCTCAGGGAGAGATCTGCATGGAACAAGGACACTGCTGCCAGGTCTCCCAGGGTGCAGAGTCCAGCTGGCCCCGCTGGGGCCCGGTCTGACTGGGACAGCAAGAAGAGGTCAGCAGAGTGTGGGCTTGGGCCCCTGCCTGCCCCCTCATCCCCAGCACACTCCAGAGCTCCCGCTGCACATGGACCAGGACACACCTGGGATCCTCCACCAGAGCAGGGACTCACAATCTCACGGGGATGTCCTGACCAAGGGGATGGAAATTCCCAGCAGAGACCCCACCCTGTGACAGGGGAGCAGCCCAGGGAGAATGGAGCTGGAGCAGCAGCCCCTCCTCTGCCATCAGTACACACCCCCACATGCTGCCCCTGCACAGAACCCAAGCCCACCCAGGAGACATCTCGGCTAGGCTGTGGCACAGTCTCATGTCATGAGTCAGGGGCACTGAGGGGAGCTGAGTCCCTTGGTCCCACGATGGCCCCATTCCCTCCCAGCCCAGCCCCACTACCTTTGATGGTGCCGGTGGGGATGATGCCCTCGGCCGTGCCCCCGTAGCCGCCTGACACGATGCTGGTCTCATTCAGGTTGGGTCCTGACACCATTACCTGCTGCAGGTCCTGGGGGGCAGAGGAGCGCAGGGGGCTGAGAGGCAGAGACGGCACAGCCCTGGTACAGCCCAAACACCCCCCGGGGTTCCCGAGCTCCGGACCTGCTCCAGGCCATCGTCCTCGGGCAGGCTGCTGGTGTCCCCGTTGCTGCTGATGGGGATCTCCATAGTGGCTGCCTTGCTCAGGATCCCGTCCGACATCCTCAGGGCCTGCAGGGACACGGCCGTGGTGCTGGGGCCAGGACCACCCCCGGCCGGGGGCAGCAGCCACAGCCGGTACCGCGGGGCCGTGGTGGGACAGCAGGAGGCCTCGGCGCGGAGAGAAGGGCCCACATCGGCAGCCGCTGGCACCGAGCAGAGGCTGCCCGCTGCCTCCTGCAGCCACTCCCAGCCCGGCCCCACCGTCTCTCGGGACACCCCCGGCTCCCAGAACCGACCCGTGGGGTGGCACAGCCCAGAGGCGCCGACCCCACTGCGGCTCCTACACCATCACGCCCGGGCTCCAGGGCTCCCCCGCCCCTCGGGCCGCACTCCGCGCCCGCTCTCACGAACCCTGCCGGGATCCCCGCAGTCCGTGCCCCGGGACAGCGGCGCTGGCAGCGCCCAGCGCGGCGCCGGGAGCCACGTCCGCAGGAGAGCGGGAGGGGGCCCCTGCGCCCGGACCGGTCCGGGCACATTCCACAGCAGGCGGGGCCCGGGGCGGGCTCCCGAGAACCCGTTACCTGCGACCCGTGCCCTCCCCGGCGGGGACAGGGCCCGGCCCGGCGCGGGGGTCGAGCCCTACGGGCAGAGGCCGTCACCGCCCGGGGCCATCCCGGCCGCGGAACGGCCCCGCAGCCCCACAGCCCCCGCGGCAGGCGGGGGCAGCGCCGGGACGGAGCCCTCCGCAGCCACGCACGGCAAGGCCCCGGAACGGGACCGACCTCCGAGGGAACCCCCGGTGGCCGCTCCCGGCGGAGCCGGCCCGAGCGGGCGGCGGCGGCCGCAGCCTGGCTCCCGGGACTCTCTCGGCCAGGCCCCGCTGGCCGTGTGCGGCCCCCCCGGTGCCCCCCAGCCCCACCTGCGCCCCGGCCCCGCCGGGCCCCCCGCGCCGCTCCCGCTCCGCTCGGCCCGGGCGCGCCGCAAGTGCCGTCAGGGCCCGGAGGTGGCGTCATGGCTGAGCCGGGCGGATGTGACGGCGCGGGGAGTGCGGCGGGAGCGGCCCGGCCCGGGCCCGGCATGGACCCGGCGGCCGAGCACCGGCAGCAGCTCCGCAGCGTGAGCCGGGGGCGGCGTGTCCCGCCAGGCCTTCAGGGGTGGTCCCGGGGCTCCAGCTGGGGGGTCGCGAGGTGCCGGGGTCGCAGGAGAACCGGCGGGGCCCTGGAAGGGACTCGGTCTGGCCGGGGGGCGCGCCGGGACTCGCGGTGGGTTTCGGGGGTCCCGGAGCGGCTCCGCCCGGTGTGATCCGCGCCTGCTCCCCAGCTGCGGGATTTCCTGCTGGTCTACAACCGCATGACCGAGCTCTGCTTCCGCCACTGCGTCTGCAACCTCAACTACCGGCTGCTCACGGGCCACGAGGTGAGCGGGGCCCGGGGGCCGCGGGCCGCCTGCCCCCGCGCCCCCTGACCCCCGCCGTGCCCCGCAGGAGTCGTGCCTGGACAGCTGCGCCGCGAGGCTGGTCCGCGCCAACCACCGCCTGATGGGCGCCTACGTGGGGCTGGTGCCGGCGCTGCTGCAGCGCCGCGCGGCCGAGCACGGGGCCCCGGCGGGGCCGCCCGCACTGCCGGCCTCCCCTGAACCGGCCCCGGGCCCCGCGGGAGACGCTCCCGCTGCCGGCACGTAGCAGCCCCTGGCCGCAGCTCCCCGCGGCCGTCGGACGCAGCAGCAGCCCGGCCCCGCAGCAGCCGCAGCCCTGCTGCACTGGAGCTCCAGGCTGGAGCAGCATCCGCGCTGGGCCCCCGGAGCCCCGAGCAGGGGCTGGGCTATGCAGGGCACCGAGGATGGGGGGCACAGGAACAGGAGAAGGCCCCCCCCCCCAGCCCTCCTGGCTGTGGATTTCTGGGAAGTGGAGTGTGAATACCAATAAAACATCTTCACAGTAATGGCTTAGTGTGACACGTGGCCCCTGTTTGCTGCTGGGTGAGCCCATGGCACAACAGGGAATCCGGGGTATTGCACCTAAATGGGAGACAAATGTCTCCCTGCAGGACCCCCGTGATGACCGGGACATTGCAGGGCCCTGAACATTCTCACTGCAACTGGCAGGTGCAGAGCAGGCACTCAGGGCAGTGGGAGGGGGCAAGGGGGGGTGGATGTCAGGTGCTGCCAGGCCAGTGCTCACCAGCTAAGGGCACGTGTATGCGCGGTCCCTAGGAGAGCCTGACCTCTTCTCTCCCTGCTGCAGCCCCTGGGCAGAGGGCGTGAGCTGCGGGCCCGGGACAGGCCTTAAGGCAGGTAAACACGAGCCCCAGTACAGAAATAAATTGATATATTCCGTGTACAAAACATGCTCCTGCAGGCCCGGCCGGGCACTCCCGCGCATATAAATAAGGCCCGGCCCGGCCTCCCCTCTGTCCTGCCCGCGGGGGCCAGCGCCTGCGCCGGGGCCACCCCTCCCGCGGGACCCCCGGGCTGGCCGGGGTCACTTAAGGTCCACATCGAAGTCCAGCACCAGCAGCTTGGTCTCCTCGGTGCCATTGCGGCTGCCCACGGCACACACCAGCTTTGTGTTGGAGGCACGGATGCGCCACACCACCCCCCCCGAGCCCCCGCTCTCCAGGGCTACCAGGTTTCGCACAAACTCCCCCGTCTTCAGGTCCCACAGCTTCACTGTCCCGTCATCCGAGCTGGTCACCACGAACTTGGAGCTGAACTGCAGGCAGGTGACGGCACTCTGGTGCTTGCTGGGACCTATGGGGAGGCACCCATGAGCCCCATGCACACCTGGGCCACCCACTGCTGTTGACATGGATCCTGCCACATCTGGCACCTCAGAGCCACCCAGCCCTGGCTCCTCAAGGACACCCACCACTCTGTCCAGACACAGCTGGCAGCTTACAGCCAGCCCAGCCCCAAGGGCAAGGAGCCCCCTCCCAGCCCCCTGATGGAAAGAACATCCCACTGGCCCCCAGGGGTGAGGTATCCCCTCTCACCCTGCAGCGTCTGCAGGCACTGCCCCGTCTTGATGTCCCAGATCTTGACGGTGGAATCGGCATTGCCGGACACCAGGATGTTGTCACGCAGCTCCATCCCGCTGGTGAGTGACTGGTGCCCCATGAGCGTGTGCAGGCAGTTCCCACTCTCCACATCCCACACGCGGATTGATGTGTCCAGGGACCCACTCACGATGTGTGTCCCATCAAACTGCCAGAGAGAAGGGGTCCAGCTCAGGATCGAGGACAGGAGTGTCCCTGGTTTGGGGCACATCCCACAGCTCTGGCATTCCCTCTCAGCTCTGCTGTATCCCGTTTGGGATACAGCATGCCCAGTTCCAGCACCAGCGACCCCAGTTCAGCAGCTGAGACACAGGCTCACGTGCCTCTTGGCTTTTTGAACTGTAATGCTCCAGGGAAGGGGCATGGACGAGTGTTTGTGTCCACAGCATATGTGTGTGGGAAGTGGGATCAGGGGGGCAGATACAGCCCCTTCAGGGCACACATGTCCCTGCAAAGCTCACAGGGCCTTGCATGACATAGGCACAGCCTATTTGTTCCTACAGCACACGTGGGACCTTTGGCACAGCTTGTACCCATGACTGGAAGGCAGGGGAGAGATAGGGCAAGCCAGCAGGAAGGCAGGCTGTACCTGCAGGGAGCAGGGAGGGCAGGGGAGCAGCAGGAAGGAATGTGTGCAGGGCCATACCTGCAGTGAGTAGACACGGTTGGTGTGCCCCTGCAGCGTGTGGGTGCAGCTCTCGCTCTCGGGGTCCCACACCTTGACTGTGTAGTCGTAGGCACCACTGACCACCTTGTTGCCGTCATACTGGACGCAGCGCACGGCTGCCACGTGGCCCATCAGCACATGCAGGCACTGCCCTGTCTCGATGTCCCAGAGCCGCAGCGTGGCATCCCGCGAGCCGCTCACCACCCTGCAGGTGAGGGGACACCTGGGGCCCAGCTGCCAGGGCAGCCTGGGGCTAACAGCCTCCCCCGTGGATGTATGTCCCCCCTCCCACACCACCTGCAGCCCGTACCTGTTGCCGTGCAGGTGCATGCAGCGCACGGTGGAGGTGTGTCCGTACAGCGTGTGCACGCACTCGCCGCTGTCAGCGTTCCACACCTTGAGTGTGCGGTCAGTGGAGCCACTGATGACAATGCTGTCCCTCATCTGGGAGGACCAAACCCCCCCAGTGTGGCCCACCAGCGTCTGCACACACTGTGGGGAACAGGACGGGAGGGGCAGGTGAGCCTCTCGCACTCCCCCACCCCCGAAACAGCACAGAGGAGCAGCATAACCCTGTGTCCTTGTCATAACGGGCCCAAACCGACCCCAGCAGTCAGGGTGTAGCCCCAGCTGTGCCCAGCACAGGGAGATGGTCCCTGCCCCAAGCCCCTGTGGCGCCAGTGACGATGCCACACTCACTTGCCTGGTGACAGTGACACTCACCTCCCCTGTGACAGCTGACCACACTTTGAGTGTGTTGTCATCAGAGCCGCTTACTATGCGATTCCCACAGAACTGCAGGCAGGTGATCACATGGTCGTCGTGGCCCTTCAGTACCTGTGGGAGCACAGGAGGGTGTGGGGGGCAGTGTGGCCCCACCCAGCCTGCAGGATCCCCCAACACAATGAGCAGTGGGAAGGCAGCAGGAGCTGTGAGGAGGAAAGGCAGACGGGTCTCCAAACCACCTGCACCCCCTGGTGCTTCTGCAGGGCAGGGGAGCTGGGGTGTGGGGTGTGTCTGCTGCAGGGCCGGGGGTTACGGCAGAACAGGGAGTAGGAGTCTCAGGAACCCAGCAGCAAGAGAAGGGGTGGTGAGGACTCTGTCCAGAGGCAGGAGGGACCCCTACGGAGAGATCACCAGGGTTCTGGGACCCTGCACAGAACACAGTTGAACCCTGTGACACTGCAATTTCCCTGGGTGCTGAGGCTGGCTGCAGCCCTGGATGGAGCCTTGGAAAGGGGCAAAGGAAAGGACCCCCTTCTCCAGGCCCAGGAGATCTCATTTCTGATGCCCCACTGCTCTGAGCAAGCCGGATCTGCTCCCCATGGCAGATCCTGCGCCAGCCTCCCCACACCAGGGGCTGAGGTGTGTCCCCAGAGGGACCCCCACCAGCCCCTCAGCCCTCCAGGAGCACTCCCAGGCTCACCCTGGGGACCACAGCTCCCTGGAGTCAGCACTGGGACACCCAGACCTACCTTGGGGGGCCGCAGCTCCCCACTGCGCCAGTTCATGTCGATGCGGTGCTGGCGCAGGAAGGCGAATTTCCAGGGGCTGTACATGAATCCAGGACTGAGCAGGCGTCGCTTCCTCAAGTGTAGGGGCTCCTCGATCCCTGCAGGGGACAACACAGCGGTGCCTCACCTGGGTCAAGCCTGGGGTGGCCCCAGCCCCCAGCCGGGAGGGCCCTCACCTTCCTCACGGCACTTCTCCCTCCAGAGCAGGTTGTCCTCAGCCAGGACTCTCCAGTAACGGCAAGTCTGGGCAGCACGGAGCAGGTCCCGTGGCTCCAGGAAAGACAAGACGTACAGGGCCAGCTACGCGGGGATAAAGGTCACAGAGAGGTCACCGGGGGAAGGTCAGGTCAGGCCAGGCCCCTGGTCCCCAGGCTTCACTCACCTCCTTGGGCAGCAGGGAGATGAAGTCGCGCTGGAACTGGGGCTCGATGACCTGCATCATGTACTTGATCTGCGCTGGCTCGCAGCGGTCAATGAGCTCATCCAGGGCCAGAAGCTTCTCAGGGCCACTCCAGCGCTGCAGGGGGACCCCCAGTGACCCAGTGTCCCCAGCTAGCCCAGACAGAGCCCCGGCAGCCAGGCCTCTTGTGCCAGGCCAAGAGCCTGAGGCAGGTGGGAGTTTGGTGGGTCATGGGTGCTGTGTGACAGGTGACACCACCCCTGGCCAGGGCTGAAACCTCCTCTGTGTTTCCTCACACAAATGAAACTATTCAAAATCCTCTGCGGGCCCAAACCCTGCCCACAGTGGGGATCCCTTAGGGTCGACTCCCTCCCGTCACACCCAGGCTGCCTGGAGCCACCAGGTGAGCCATACCTGGAAGGTGCGGAGCCAGTCCTGTAGCTCAGGTGGGGGTGCCACCGAGGGGATGTGGCGGCGCCGGGCCTGCCCCACCTTGGCGTTGCGCAGGTCCCCAAAGGTGGTCGTGGGGCTGGGTGTACAGGGACCCAGCGTCCTGGGAGAAACACCAGGCGCAGCTGAGGCCATGGCACAGCTGGCATGTGCCATCACTGCTCTGGGCCACAGTGCTCCAGAGGTATTGGAACTGGCTCCCACCAGTGGGAGCTCCACCCCACTGACCCCTTCTCTTTGCCCACACCCTGCTGACCCCTTGCCCAGACATGTAGCCCAGCCTGCTCAGCAATAGGCAACTGGTCAGGGCTGGATCTCACCTGGGCCAACTCCCGCTCAATCCAAGTGGCCCTACCACCCTCCTGGGGAGGGCGGCAGGAGCTATGTGCCACCCCAGCACATAGAACCCCTTTCACCAGCTGCACTCAGAGCCCCCCACCCCTCACCTGCCATAGTCAGAGCCCTTGCACAGCTTCTTCCCAGGCGACAAGGCCCGGCCATCTGGGCCATTCTCTGACTTCCGCTTCATCTGTGGGACACAGCAAGTTGGAGTGGCTGAGAGAAACCCAGGCAGACCCCTGCAGACTCCCTGCCCACAGCTGATCCTTGTGGATCCCTACAGGCCACCCACCCCTGCGGTCCCCTGCCAAGAGCTATGGGGCAGATCCCCATCTGCTCTTGCTTTCTCCCTTCAGGGTCCATACAGCAACAAAGGATCCCCATGCAGAGCAGGGTGGCTGCACCAGGGCCAGCCACGGCTGGGGACCAGGGTAGTACCTCCTTCCCCCACCCTATGACCAAGGACCCCCATGCAGGGCAGGGATCTGCATGGAGGACTGGGGCAGCATCTCTTCCCCCAGCCCCAGCAGCCAGGCACCATGGAACCCCAGCCCCCCGTTCACCCTCCCTGGTCCCTGGCACCTTGGGGCGCAAGTGCCGCAGCAGCCCCCCATCCCCAGTGCGCTGCAGGTAGTCGATCCAGCGCTCGCCCAGGGTGTAGTACAGGTATACGTTGCTGCTGTCTTCCCCCTCCTCGCTGCAGCAGCTCCCTTCTTCCTCCTCCTCCTCTTCTTCCTCCTCCTCCTCCCTGGTGGACCTGGGGGGCTCCTGTGGTCCCCGCCCCCCAGAACCATCAGGGTCTGCTCCGGACCTGGGGGTACCCTTCCAGGGGCGCTCTGGCTCCCAGGGCTCTGGTGCCTCCTCCTCCTCCTCTTCCTCCTCTTCAGCCACCACCTGAAAGGCAAAAGGCAGGGAGCAGGGCTGACTCCACAGCAGCTTTGGGGCAGAGCCTTGCAGAGACCTCCAGTCTGCTGCTGGAGACCAGGGGTGGGGCAGGGGCTGGGAGTGCTGCTGGATGGCTGCCAGCGAGGGCCACAGCCCTGCAGCACAGGGGCTCCTCTCAACAGCACTGTGGGGGACTGCAGGGCAAGCATGACCACGAACTCCTTCAGAATCCTCCAGGTGCCATTTTGTCTGCTCGCTGTGAGCTTCCCCAGCGCCCCCCCAGAGCCAAACCTCCTCCCTCAGCCTTGCACCTGGCAGCAGGAGCCCTTCTGCACCCACCTGTGCCGCAGGTGCCCTGTGGTCCTCACTGTCCCCCAGGGGAGTGGGGCTGGCTCGCGGGGGCCCCTCGGGGCACCGCCGGCACGTCATGCGCTGGCTGTTGAGCTCCAGGATGCGTGTGGTGATGCCCTTGACGTGCAGCAGGTCATCCAAGCAAGTGAAGCCCTTCAGCTCCTGCGCAGAGGGAAGTCAGCCCTGTCCAGAACAGAATCCCTCCTGCTCCCAGAGCCCCCTGCCCAAGCGGCCCCACAGGGAAGAGTCACAGCACTGCTAAAGGGGGGCAGCAACCCAAAGCTGACAGCTCCGGTAGGAGCACTGTGCCCCCCAGATGAGCAAGATGGGGAGCGAGGCTGCAGCTCCAGGGCAGGGCAACAACTGGACACGTGCAGATGCACACGTGTGAGGGACCTCGGACACTACCCAGCCCTGACCTGGGATCAGCTGCCTCCTGTCACCCGATGCGGCTCCCGGAGCGCCTGCCATGGGAGGAACCCAGCAGGGCCGGGCTGTCCTGGGGCAGGACTCGGCAGACAACCAGTGCAGCCCACGGGGCCGGGAAGGGCCGGACAGGCCCTTCTGACCCGGCAGGGCTCATTTTACGGTGCTCCTGCTGCTCCCCACAAAGGGCTGCAGTAGGAGCAGCGCCCCGGACAGGCCCTGCTCCAGACCACCCTCCCGATGTATTCCCGGCTTTTGCCGTCCCGCCTCCCGGTGCGTATGTGTCCACAACATTTGGACACCCACCCCTCTACCTCCCTTCCGGGGCCCAGACATGCCAAACGTTCCCAGCCCTGCCTCGCCCGGCCGCGGCGCTGCCCATCCCTGCAGCATCAGGGCACGGCTGCCGCCGACGCCCCGTACCGCCGGGCTGGGGCCGCGGGGCCGCTCCCGCCCGGTCTGGCCCGCCATGGGCGGTGACGCCGCTCGGGAGCCCTGCGGGCGCAGGGCCAGCCCCGTTCCCCGGCTCCCCGCTCGGGCCTGCCAGCACCCGGCGGCAGGGAGGGCAGCACCGGGGGCGGCTGTGCTCGCCCGGCCCGCGGGCTCGGGGATCGCGGCCCCGCACCTGCCCCGGTACCAGCACGGAAACAGCGCGGCCGCCCTGCACTCGCCCCGCGACCCAACAACGGCACGGCCCGCAGCCCCGGGTACCGGGACACACAGCGACACGGCCCGCAGCCCCGGGTACCGGGACAGACAGCGGCACGGCCCCCCGCCCCGGCTACCGGGACAGATAGTGTCGCGGCCTCCCCGCCCCGGGTACCGGGACAGACAGCGGCACGGCCCCCCCGCCCCGGGTACCGGGACACACAGCGGCACGGCCCCCCGCCCCGGGTACCGGGACAGACAGCGGCACGGCCCCCTGCCCCGGGTACCGGGACAGACAGCGGCACGGCCCTCTGCCCCCGGGTACCGGGACAGACAGCGGCACGGCCCCCCCGCCCCGGGTACCGGGACAGACAGCGGCACGGCCCCCTGCCCCGGGTACCGGGACAGACAGCGGCACGGCCCTCTGCCCCCGGGTACCGGGACACACAGCGGCACGGCCCCCAGCCCCCGGTACCGGGACAGACAGTGCCGCGGCCTCCCCGCCCCGGTCCCGGCCCGGCCGTTCAGCGCGGGGCGCGCCCCCCCACCCCCGCACCTCTCTCTTGCGGACGATGCCGCGGGCACGGCGCCGGCCGATGCCGCTGAGGGCGCCCTCCAGCTCGGCCACGCCAGCGCGGTTGATGTCGAGCTTGGCCCCGGCGGGGCCCGGCCCCGACATCCCGGTACCGGTACCGGGCGCCGCCGCCGCGCAGGCCCCACAGCACCGCGCAGGCGCGGCCCCGCCGCCCCGCCCGCACACGCGCAGGCGCAGCCGTGAGGAAGCAGCGGGTTTATTGGCGATACCGCACGGGGCGGGGCCGGCCGCCCTGGCCCCGCCCCCTCCCGCCGCCCGGTCACCGCCGCTTGTACAGGCACGGCCGCAGTCGCAGCCCGGGGGCGGAGCCGGGCCGTGCCGGGCCCGTCTTGGCGAACTCCAACACGTAGAAATAGGAGCTGGAGAGATCCTGGGGGCGTGGGACACCCGACTCGGTAACAGCACCCCGGAGCCCCCACCCTGCCACGACCCTGGAACCCCCCACCCCTCCAGCAGCACTCAGTGTGGCCCCAGAGAACCCCAGGTACCCCCGCCTCCTTCCAGACCCCCACTGCACCCACACCCTGTCTCCAAAGCCCGTCCCCCAGAGCCCATCCCCCAGATTACTCCTCTAAATGCCCAATGTACCTATCCTCAACCCCACACCACAACTCCTCCAGGCCCCGGGACCCCCAAGCCCCTCCAGGGCTACTCACCCACCTCCAGGCCCCGCACTGCAATCCCAGTGTGCTCCAGGCCTCCTCATCCCTTCCCCAGCCCTAGCACCCCATCCAACCTGCGTCCCAAACCGCCACAGTGTGCCTCCATGGTCCCCAGGACCTCCAAACCCTCTCCCAGGACTCCACCCCTGCGCGTACACACCCCATCTGCCGTCCCCCATGCAACAATCCCTTTCACTAGCCCCCAGTGTGCTCCACACCAGGCTGGGCCTCAGCACACCGCCTCCTTGGACCCCTTCTCTGGGCTCCCTGGTTCCTGGTGCACCCAGTTCTAGGCACAACACCTGGGGACACACCTTGGAGACGGTCCTGAAGCCCAGCTGCGTCATGGCGCTCAGGAAGGCACGGGTGTCCTCAAAGCGGCTGGCCACCTCGGCCACCATCAGGGTCCCCCTGCGGTCACTTGAGCTCTGACAGGGTGCCCAGGCACCCCCAGGATGCTGCTCAGCATCCCCGCCCCAATCTCCCACTGCCCCACAGCCTCCGCCTACCCGAGCTTGAGCACACGGTTGGCCTCTCCTAGGATCTCCTGCAGGTTGGTCCCCATCAGCGCCAGGCAGAACACGGCCACGTCCACCGACTCAGCCGCCAGTGGCACCTGCCCACCCCGGGACACCCCCGGAGAAGGAGGATGATGACTTGGCCTGGAAGCCGCTCTGCACACACCCGGGAGCAGGAGGAGCAGCATGATGGTGTTGATGGGGCTGGGACTACCCGGGCTTGTGGCTTCAGCCGTGTCCCAGGCACACACCCAGCTTTCAAACAGACGCACGCGTGCTTCCCCCCCACGGGACCCTCGGGGTCATGGTTCCCCACCTGCACGCCCTCCCTGCCCCGGGGCTGCCCCGCTACCTTGGCCATGTCGCAGACGGTGACCCGCGGGCTCAGTGGCACCAGGTCGAAGCAGTGCACCTGGTTCTTGACACTGGCAGCCAGTGTGCAGTCCCCGCAGCCAAAATCCGCCACCACTAGCGACGCCGGTCTGGGGCAGGGACGGCGGGCTCAGAGTGGCCTGGCCCGGCACCTCGTCCCCCCACTGCTCTCCTATCATTCCCGAGCCCACCGCTCACGGACCCCTGCCATCCTCCGGCCCCGCGCCCCCCAGCCCCTCCTCGGTGCATTCCCCGGCTCTCGGCTCTCTGACCAGCCCCCGGCCCCACTGACGACCCCTCCGCTCCACGTTCCCCCCAGGCCTCGCCATCCCGCTCACCGGCGGCGCAGGTAGCGCACGATTCGCTGCACCGGGCGCTCGGGCCAGCGCCGCACCTGCCGCTCGAAGCCCCGGTGGTAGAGGTGGAAAGCGGCAGGGTCGGCGCGGAAGAGCTGCGCGGCGTCCCGGCTGCTGCCGGTGTAGAGCTGCTGGTTCAGATAGCGGAACCGGGCGCCGAGCAGCCGCTCCTCCATCCGCGCGCGGAGCGCCGCCGAGCGGCCCGAGCGGGGCTCCAGAGGCGCCTCCGCGGGGCCCGGCGGGTCCGGGGCGCCCGGCGGGTCAGGGGGGCCCGGCCCCAAGCCCCGCTCCACATCCGACCCCGCCGACGGCTCCTGCTGCCGCTGCCGCTTCTGCCGGTTCCTCCGCTGTCTACGGCTCAGTCCCGCCGGCTCAGCCAGGCCGTCTGGGAGCATCGGGAGGGGGGTCAGGGCGCGGAGGCGGCTCCCTCCTGCCCGCCGGGCCCTGGAACCGTCCCGGTACCTGCGTCCGGCCGCTGCCCAATCTCCCGGGGCTCGTCGGGACCGGCCGGGAGCTCCGCCGCCGCGGCCCGCGCCTCGCCGGTCTTCTTCCGCTTCCGGGGCCGCTTCCGCGCCGCCTCACCGTCCCGACCGGCCCCGGGCAGCCGCCTCTTTCGTGGGGTCCTGTGGAGAGCGGGGGCCGGTAACTTCCGCGCGCCCGAGACTGGCCCGGCCCGCCGCTCCCGTTTACCCGCTTACCGGTCGGCCTGGGCCCTCCGGGGCGCCGCGGGGCAGCGGCTCCGCTTCATCGTTCCAGCCCTGCTCCGCGAACATGGAGCGGGGACCCTCGGTCAGTACCGGGACGCACGTGCTGCCGCCCAGGGAGCGCCGCGGCAACAGCCCCTCCTCTCGGCCCGGAGGACCGGGCGGGGGCCTCGCTGCACGGGCGGTGCCGCGGGCGGCCCGCTCCGCCCCCGGCCGGGTAACCGCGCCCCCGGTCAATTTGGCACGCCCGTAACCCCGCTTGCGGCCCGCCCGGTACCCCGCCCCGTGCCCCGCCCGGTACCCCGCCCCGTGCCCCGCCCGGTGCCCCGCCCGGTGCCGTGTGGCGGGGCCGCGCCGGCGGGTTCCGGCCGGCAGAGGGCGCGCTCTCGGGGCGGAGCCCCCGCGCCGTCCCGCGCCCGCCGCAGCCGCCGCCCTGCGGAGCCGCCGGGACACGCACCCGGTAACGGCGGGACAGGCACCGAGCGGGGACAGGTTGGGGAGGCCGCGAGTGCGTCTGCGGGCGACCCGGAGCGGGAGCAGGGCCGGACGGAGTCCTGCCGGAGCTGGGGCCGGGGCCGGGGCCGGGGCCAGGGCCGGGGCTGGGGCCAGGCCGGGAGCTGCAGGGTAGGGGTGGGGGGCGCAGGGGAGGGATTTGGGGTACAGGGGAGGGATGGGGGTAGAGGGAAGCGATTGGGGGTACAGGGAAGGGACTGGGGGTACAGAAAAGGGATTGGGGGTACAGGGGAGGGATTGGGGGTACAGGGGAGGGTTTGGGGCACAGGGAAGGCACTGGGGGCTGAGGGAAGGGTTTGGGGTACAGGGGAGGATTGGGAGTACACGGTAGGGATTGGGGGTACAGGGAAGCCATTGGGGGTACAGGGAAGGGACTGTGGGCTGAGGGGCAGGACTGATGGGGCCGCGGGGCAGAGCGGGTCCCTAGCAGCTGGTTCGGGGTAACAGGGGGGCTGTGTCTCCACATCCCATCCCCTTCCCCAGGTGCTGAGCAGGGCCGAGCTGGGCACTTGGCCGTCCAGGCAGGGCCGGGGCTGGTCGGCCCTGGCAGCCCCGCGGGACTGGGTAGGGGCCGGTGGGTGACAGCAGGGCACAGTCCCGGGCTGAGCAGGGGACGTGATGGGGCCAGGATGGGATGTCATCACGGCGGTGTGAGGTCCCACAGGGCCAGGACTGGTGTGGCATGTCCTGGGGACCCCTTTTCATGAGGTGCCCCCAAAAGCGTGGGGGATAAATCTCGTCCGGGAGTGTGGGTGCTCTGGTGCCAGGACAGGGTCAGTGCTGCTGTGGGTGTGCTGGGGCCATTCTAGGGTGTACGAGACCATGGCAAAAATCCAGGGCTCTGCATCCCACCCCTCGAGCTGCCTGGGGCAAGGGGTGCAGGCAGGGTCCTGGGGGATAGCTGCAGGTGCTGGCAGCTGGTGGGAGTCCCTCTGTGTCTGGGTGGGCATCAGGTCCAGGGGGATCCTCCAGCAGCAGGTTTGAGCCCCAGTGGGCGCATGTCAGGCATGTCGTATTCAGTCTGACTGTCCCCACACTGTGGGACTCACTGCACGTCTCTGCTCAGCATCACAGACAGCCAGGCAGCAGGTCCCACGCTCGCAGCCGAGGCCGCAGGGGGACATGGGGAGCAGGGGGCAGCTCTGTGCCTGGCTCTGAGCTGGGATGTCCATGGATCCTCCATGTCCATGAGGTTTTCCATGCACGAGGCTTTGGGGTCCTGCTTTCTGAGCATGGTCCATGCCAGGCCCAGCCAAGTGGGTCAGGAGGGTCACAGGGCTGCAGGATACTGTGCCAGGGATGTTGAGCTACCCCAGCCCCATTCCCCCACCAGATCTGCGGGGTCTGAAGTTGAGGGTGCTGAGCTCCCGCAGCCTCACTCCCCTCCAGAGCTGTGGGCACCGGGGCCAGCTGTGTCTGGTGATAAGCCCGGGGGTGCCAGCATGGCTTCCTGTGGGTGGCCATGGCCCCTCTGGAGTCACCCAGGATCTTCCCCTTGGGCTGCCGGTCCAGCTCCAGCCCAGACCTCAGCCTGCCTGCGGCTTCCTGGAGAGCTGCAGGGACGGGGCAGGAGGGGTCAGGGATGGGGCGGGAGGCTCCTGTACTTGCTGTTCCAGGGCCCTCCCTGCCCAGGGGATCGGGGTCCCCATGTCCTTACCCACATCCCCTCCCGCAGCTGCCATGGACGACATCTTCACACAGTGCCGGGAGGGCAATGCGGTGGCCGTGCGGCTGTGGCTGGACAACACCGAGAACGACCTCAACCAGGGGTGAGTGGGGCTGTGGGGGCTGTGCTGGGCGCTGGTTTCCGCCGCTCTCCGTGGAAAGGCAGGGGGCAGATGGCAGGATGCAGCTCCTCCCCGCTGGAGGAAGTTACCGCATCGCTGAGGCACGAGGCCAAACATCCTCTGGCCACTTCCTCACGGCCACAGCCAGGGATCAGCTGGGCTGGGGCGACCTCCCCTGTCCCCGTGGTGGCGGCTGTGTCCCTGACCTGATCTTCATGTCCCCTGCCCCTCTGTAGGGAGCACCATGGCAGATGTGTGGGCACATGGCCGGGACCACTGGGGCCACTCTGTGCCCAGAGGTCTGCTCCTGTTTGAGGGGTCTTGCAGGACCGTGGGGTCCAACGTGTGCTCACAGCCATTCGGGAGCCACATCTGGGCAAGGCGTGCCTGCAGTCTGTGCAGCTGGCGCAGCGTGACCCCATAGTGTGACCCCATACCGTGATCCCATCCAGGCCATGGCCCTGGCATTCCGGACGTGCTCCCTTGGTCATGCCTCCCTGCCCCTCCTGGGGGTCCCAGGCACATGGAGCTCTCCCAGACCCATAGAAGGTGCTCAAAGAACTGTTCTGTGCTGGGTAGCCCCTGCCTGCAGGACCATGGTGGGGACAAATGGGGTCTGCTGTGCCAGGGGGCTGGAGGGGGGCTGGGGCTGGGGGGGAGCCTGGGCTGGAGGGGAGCCGGGGCTGCAGCAGCCCCTCTGCCAATTCCTGATCTCCATTTAAGGCCTGGCTGCCACCTCCTCCCTTACTTGGTCATGGAGTGGGGGGATGGGGACAGGATCCAGCTGTGATTCAACCTTGGAGGAGACAGGATTTGGCCCGGGCTGCTGGGGCCCTGATGGGGGTGGGTGGGAGTGGGATGGACGTTCATCCTGGTCCCTTTGCCCCTGCCACTGGTGTTTTGAGAATGATGCCAGTGATGCCTGGGCCAGGGGGCTACAGCTCAGCAGAGCCCCCCCATCCTGCAGGGACGACCATGGGTTCAGCCCCCTGCACTGGGCCTGCCGCGAGGGCCGCTCCAACGTGGTGGATATGCTCATCATGCGCGGGGCCCGCATCAACGTCATGAACCGCGGCGATGACACCCCGCTGCACCTGGCCGCCAGCCACGGCCACCGGGACATCGTGCAGAAGGTACCTGTCCCCTGTGCCAGCACCTGCCCTTCCCCACCCCCTGTGTAGCCCTCCACGTTGCCCTTGTGGGACTTGCTCTCCTCGTCACCTATCAGGAACACCTGGCATCCCCACTCCTCACAACCTCCCTCCAAATCCCTCTGAGCCCCACATCAGTTCAGCCCCCTCCCTACAGCTCCCAATGTGCTGCCCCTGCATCCCCCAGGGGAAGGCACAGGGAGGATGAGGGCTGTCCTGGGCTCATGGGGATCTTGCCTGGGCTTATAGGGACAGTCCTAGGCTCACAGGGACTGTCCCGTGTCCCCAGCTGATGCAGTTCAAAGCAGACATCAATGCAGTGAATGAGCACGGGAACACGCCGCTGCACTATGCCTGCTTCTGGGGACACGAGCAGGTGGCTGAGGTGAGTGGGAGCATGGGCAGGAGGGAGGGCAGGCTGGGAGGAGGACTGAGGGGACATCACAAACCACAGTCCTTGCTCCCTCCTCTCACAGGACCTGGTGGGCAGCGGGGCCCTGGTCAGCATTGCTAACAAATACGGTGAGACCCCCACAGACAAGGCCAAGACGCCACTGCGAGAAGTCCTGAAAGGTACGAGGGTCCCTTAGGACCCCACAACTGACCGAGCCTCCAGCCAGCTGCAGCAGGCTCTGGGTGCCACCCTCCTCCTCCTCCTCCCTCTGCAGAGCGTGCTGAGAAGCTGGGCCAGAGCCTCACCAAGATCCCCTACAAGGACACGTTCTGGAAGGGCACAACTCGCACCCGGCCCAGTAAGGACTGGGGGTCCCTTGGGGAGTGCCATGGGTCCCCCGGGCCCTGCTGGCACTGCTTCCTGGATCCAGCAGCTATTAGGCACTCATCCCTCTTCCACTGTAGGGAATGGGACCCTGAACAAACTGGCCGGGATTGACTTCAAACAGCTGAGCCTGAGCCACAAACTGAATGAGAACCAGTCAGGAGAGGTAGGTCCCTCTCATGCCCAGGTGGGCGCTGTGCCTGTGCAGACCCCCGTGCCCTGGCCCAGCCGGGCACACTGCTCTGGAGTCCCATGGCCAGGTGCAGGGAGGGAGCTCCTCCCCAGCTCAAGGGGCTCCCTTCTCATTGGGGACCCTTGGTCCCAGGGGCTCCAGAGCCCCATACAGGGGCCTGGGGATGCTGGGGACTGCAGCCCTTTCATGGTGCCCGTGTCTCTGCTCCTCCTCCAGCTGTGGAAGGGGCGCTGGCAGGGCAATGACATCGTAATCAAAATGCTGAAGATCCGGGACTGGACGACGCGAAAGAGCCGGGACTTCAACGAGGAGTACCCAAAACTGCGGTGGGTGCTGCACATGCCTGGGATCCACACCAGCGTTTGACCAGGGCCACTCTGGCACCTTCTCAGGGCCAACAGCAGCTCTCAGAGTATAGGGCAGGAAGGAGCCTCCCAGCTCTGTGGGGCCAGGAATGCTTGGGGTGGTGGCCAAGGGCTGGGAGGCCCTGGAGGATAGCAAAGGCCAGACGAGGGGGTGCAGGCAGCCCCTTCCTGTTCTTAGGGCTGTCACTTCTCTTGCAGGATCTTTTCCCACCCCAATGTGCTGCCAGTGCTGGGTGCCTGCCAGGCCCCTCCAGCTCCCCACCCCACTGTCATCAGCCACTGGATGCCTTATGGTTCCCTGTACAACGTCCTGCACGAAGGAACCAGTGAGTGCTGGGGGACGGCGTGTTTGGGGGCAGCAGGGTCTCTCCAGCCACAGCCCTGGCTGGGCTTAGGGTGGGTTGACCCCGTCACCCCTTTCCCAGATTTTGTGGTGGACCAGATGCAGGCGGTGAAGTTCGCCTTTGATATCGCGCGGGGCATGGCCTTCCTGCACACGCTGGAGCCCCTCATACCGCGGCACCACCTCAACAGCCGCAGCATCATGGTGAGTGGGGCACAGCCCCTCTCCCAGGATAGGGGCTTTCAGGGCAGGGAGGCTCCTGTTGACTGCCTGCTGTCCACAGATTGATGAGGACATGACGGCACGGATCAGCATGGCCGATGTCAAGTTCTCCTTCCAGTGCCCGGGACGGATGTACGCCCCGGCCTGGGTGGCTCCCGAAGGTGAGTGCCCCGTTCCCAGCCCCCCCGGACTGGCCCCCTCGCCGCCAGTCCCACTCAGCCCCCAGCCATCCCCCAGCCCTGCAGAAGAAACCAGAGGAGATCAACCGGCGCTCAGCTGACATGTGGAGCTTCGCCGTGCTGCTGTGGGAGCTGGTGACACGTGAGGTGCCCTTCGCTGACCTGTCCAACATGGAGATCGGTATGAAGGTGAGGGGGTGGAGGGGCAAAGGAACTGGGTCAGAGTTAGGGCAGAAGTTCTGGCCTTTGAGGGTGGTGAGGCCCTGGCACAGGTTGCCCAGAGAATTCTGGCTGCTCCATCCCTGGAAGCGTTTAAGGCCAGGTTGGAGGGGGTGTGGAACCACCTGGGCAGGTGGAAGGTGTCCCTGCCTGTGGGGGCAGGGTCCCAGTCCTGACTCTGGCTCCTCTTCTTGCTTGCAGGTAGCACTGGAGGGACTACGTCCCACCATCCCCCCTGGCATCTCCCCCCACATCTGCAAACTGATGAAGATCTGCATGAACGAGGACCCAGCCAAGCGCCCCAAGTTCGACATGATCGTGCCCATCCTGGAGAAGATGCAGGAGAAGTAGAGAGGAGGCGCCTCCCCCCTCCAGTGCTGCCTTGCACCCCCCGCCACCCCCAAGTGCCTTTAGCCCTAGAGCCAGGGGGGGCAGAGGACACCCCTCACCCTGAGCCAGCCACGGACACACGGTACAGATGGCACTGCCTGTGCTGGAGCTCTGCAGGCTCCAGACCCCCGCCCAGGGCAGCCCCTCCCCAGGGCAGCCCTAACCCAGCCTCTGGGCAGCCCCCCTACCCCAGGGCATGGTGTGGGGCTTGCCTCTGCTGCTGGGGGGCAGGGCTGTGGGGCCCCCTGTCCCCCTTGCTGGGCAAAGCCCAACCCAGGACTCAGCACCCACGGCTGGGGGGCAAGGGGCAGGCCAGGAGAGGCCACCTGTGGTGCCCAGCACTGCCCCCGCTTCGCGCTTCACTGGCCACTTCCCTCTGGCCCCAGAATGGCCACTGGCAACCAAATAAATGTTTGGTATGGAATCAGCTGCTGGGGTATGGGGCGAAGGAATGGGGAGACTTGGTTGGGGTGGGGGGCTGGAGTGACTGGGGGGTTGGGACTCACAGGGGATGTCTAGGACTTAGGGTGGGGTTGGATTGACATGGGGCTACCTTGCAGCCCACAGAGCCCTGGGCACAAGTCACCACCCACAGCAGCCCTCTGGTGCCCAGCACAAGTAGGGTAGATAGGCACAGGGCCCCATCAGGAGGGGCCTGGTGCAGGAGGGGTGGGCTCAGGGTCCCATCCCTGGCTCCAATTGTCGTGCTGCCTGTGCAGCCCCCATGCTATTCCCTGTGGGAGACAAGGGGCAGTTTAGGGAAGGAGGAGAAGGAAGAGTGCTAGGCAGTCCCTGTGCCCTAAGCCCACTCTGCTCCAGTACTGCTGGGAGCACCGAGCCCCCTGTGACCGGCAGAGCGGGGTGAGCACGTGGAGGACCAGGGCCAGCACTTGTGGACGCAGGCACAGGAGCAAGGCTGCCATCCCACAAAACCCTGTGAGGTGTTTAATGGCACTGACATGACCCCTACAAGCTGCCCAAGCTCCCCCGTGCTCTATGTGAAGTAATGCGGCTTCTTGACGTTGATGCCATACTCAGCCAGTGCTGGTGTCAGGTCCTCCATGGTCAGCGTGTACTTCTTGTCCTGAGGGACATGGGGCAGGCGGTCACGGCAGGGACAGCCGGGGCTGTGGGACCCCTCACGGTGCAGGGACAGGCGTGTCCCACAGCCAGAGGAGCTGCTGGGGCAGCACTGGGGTATGCCCAGCTCCCCACAGACATCCCTGGACAACTAGCACCAAATCCTACTGGCCTTGCGGAGCCCCTGATCCCCAGATATGGCACTAGGAGGGTCCCGAGGACCCCTCACTCCAGCTCCTCCCCAAGCCCAGAGCTGCAGCCAGTGCTGGGGTGGAGGGGCACCAAAGGGTGTCCACAAGCTCCGTGCCCCCATCGTGTCCCCGCCAGCTCCTCCCCACCCGCAGGAACCCAGCATAAGCCCGCAGATTTTGGGATTTCTGCACTCCACGTTCTTGCACTCGGTGGCTGCGGCTCAGCCCCATCCCCAGAGAGGGCTCCCCGCTCCCCCCAGCCCCTCACCTTGCTCTTGCTGCGGGAGCTGCCCGAAGCCGTGCCCTTCATCTTGCAGTGCTGCAGCGCGTCGTTGGCGATGTCCGAGATGAACTTCTGAGCCGCCAGCGAGATCAGGCGGATTCTGCGGGACAGGGACCGTGTTGGCGAGGCAACAGGGTCCGCGGGCCCTGCGCGGCTCCCGCCTCTCCCCCTCAGCTTGCAGCCACTCACATGCGGGGGTCCGAGGCCTCAAACCCTGCCCGGTTCAGGTAATACCCTGTGACGGCGTCCGGGATCTGGGAAGGGAAGAGTTGGAACAGCTGCACGGCCCCGCGGGGCGTTTCTACATCCCGTGTCCCCTGGCACAGGAGCCGCGCCGTACCCCAGTACCGCGGGACCTGCCCCGTGTCCCATCCCGTCCCGTCCCACGGCAGCCGCCCCGTGTGTCGGTACCGTGGGAGTGTAGTCCTCCAGCTGCATGAGGAAGTCCACGAGCGGCGTGGTGGACACCACGGGCTTCACGTCGCCGTTGGCCGCGGGCGGCACGTACACACCGTTGGACATGGCCCCGTCCGGGGGAGCGGCCCCGGCCGCGGACACCGGCACTACGGGACAGCACGGTCACCACTAGAACCGCGCACGGCACCGGCACTACGGGACAGCACGGTAAGAGCTAGAACCGCGCACGGCACCGGCACTACGGGACAGCACGGTCAGCGCTAGAACCGCGCACGGCACCGGCACCACGGGACAGCACGGTCAGCGCTAGAACCGCGCACGGCACCGGACAGCACGGTCAGAGCTAGAACCGCGCACGGCACCGGCACCGCGGGACACACGCCCAGCGGGACCCGGGCACCCCGGAACACCCCGGGGGCCGCTCCCCCGGTCCGAATGGCTCAGCGCGTCCCGCGGGGCTCCCGTGCGCGGGGCCCATCCCCCGCCGCCCCCATCGCGACTTACCGGGCCCCCTCCCGCCGGCCGCACAGCCCTCGGCGGCGCGCGCCGCACCGCCCCCCGCAGCCGGCGCCGCCCCGGGCCCGGCGCTGCCCGCGGCGGCCGGGCTGGGCTTGCTGCCCTCGGCGGGGCCCGGCGGGGCAGCCGGAGCCGCGGCCGCGGGGTCGGGATCGCCGCTGCCGCTCATGGTCCCGGCGCCAGCCCGCTCCGCGCCTGCGCACGCCGAGCCGCTCCATTGGCCCCGCGGCTCCTTCGCTCCGCCCCTCTCGCCGTCCCATTGGCCCCGTTGGGCCCCCGCCACGCTCTCCATTGGTTCAGCCCTCCGACGCTCATCACCCCGCACGCCCCCTGGCGGACGCGCGGGCACAAACACAGGCGGTGGGCGGGGCTTCGCTCGTTTATTGCTCCGCCCCCGCCGCCCCCGCTCCGCCCCCAGCTCCGCCCCCGCTCCGCGGCGTTCGCGGCCCGGTCCCGCTGTCCGGTCCCGCTGTCCGGTCCCGCGTCCCGGTCCCGCTGCCTGTGCTCCGCTGCCCGTGCCCCGCTGCCCGTGCGGTCCCGCGGTCCGGTCCCGCTGCCCGCGCCCCGTTGCTCGATCCCGCTGTCCGGTCCCGCCCCGCTGTCCGGCACCGTGGTCATGCCACGGTGCCCCGGTCAGCGCGGCCCGAGCGCCCGCAGCAGGCGCGGGAAGTTGGGGGTGCCCCAGCCCGTGACCGGGTCCCAGGCGGGGGTGGCGCAGAAGCCCTGGCCCTGCACGGTGCCATCCAGGCAGGACAGGTGGCAGCCCTGGATCACCTGCGGGGACCAGCCTCAGTACTGGACCTCGGCGACACCCCCCAGGTCTCGGGACAGCGAACTCCGGAACACCCGAGTCCCACACAGCCCTGGGACAGGGATCCCAGGGCACAAGGACCACCCAGGACATGGGTACCATGGACACAGGGACCCTGCCCACAACCCCCGGGAACCAGGGACAGCTGTCCCTGCCATCCCTGAGACAGGAATCCCGGGGACAGGGGACCCCAGACATCTCACACGAGGACCCCCACAGAGCTCACAGGAGCCCATAGGGACCCCCAAGGACACCACTCCCATGGAAAGGTCAAGGGCAACCCCAGGAGCCCCTCCCATGGGAACGCCATAGGGATTCTCTCCTGCCCTCCAGCAGGACACTGCTGGCCCTGCCCCAGGCACAGCTCTGGGAGCAGGAGCGCCAGGACAGCCCCCAACCCCCAGGACAGCCCTTGGAGCACACATGGCCCTCCCAGCCCCATGGACAGGCCCACCCCAGGCCTCAGCCAAACACGTCAGGACACCTGAAGTCCCCTCAGCCCCCAGGACAGCCCCTCCAGCCCATTCCCTGCTCCGCTCACATCGTAGAATGCGTCACCAAGCCCTTGCTTCTGCAGCTGGTAAAGCGCAGGGTTGAGGAAGCCAAGGGGTGCCAGCCCCCGCTGCAGGCGCCGGTCATTGATCAGTGCCACCATGCCCGCCACCACCGGTGTGGACGCCTGCGTGGGCACAACCGCTCATCCCAGGGCCCCGCCATGCTGGAGGGCAGCAGGGGGTGAGCTCCTTACCGAGGTTCCCGACACCCAGGGCAGCGGGATGCGGTTTGTCACCACCCAGTAGTTGTCAGAGAGCGCAGCCAGGTCGGGGTACGCACGGCCGCTGCTGTTGTAGTAGGAGCTGGGCGGCAGCTTCGAGGCTGAGCGCAGGAAATGCCCGACAGCAGCGGCCTGGGGACAGCACGGCCCGTGGGCATCCCCAGAGCCACTGTCCCCCCGAGCCTAACCCTGCAGCCCTGTCTGCAGCCCCCAGCCTGGCAGCGCCGGCGTCCCTCACCTGGTACTCGGGCATGGGGAAGACGTTACTGAAGCCGCCCCCGCTGATGTAATCCGTCACCTCCTCCGTCACCAGGAAGGGGTTCTTGAAAGACGTGCCACCCACGGTGGTGACATAGGGGCTGGGGAAGCAGGGGGACACTGCCTGTGGGCACACGGCTGCCTGGGCCTCAGCAGCCACCAACAGCCCCCTCTGCTACCACACCTTCACCCCACAGACCAAAGCAATCCCACAGCTGCACAGGCTGCAGCTCTGGGCTCTGTACGCCTGCTGGTGAGGACCCTCAGGTGACCTTCCAGGGACTCAGACACCACTGGGGCTGGGGCCAGCCGTGCCCCCGCAGGGCTGTGCTGACCCCTCGCACCCACCTGGAGGCCGGGAAGCTGGGCCGGAACGTATGGTTCCCGCCATGCTCTCGCCGACAGCCAGCACCGTCGTCACCTGCGACACGGGAACAGGTGACAGGTGTGCACGGCGCTCCAGGCACCCCCTCCCCAGCCCCGCTCGGTGCTCGAGCTCAGACGCACCTGAGGCAAACAGGATGGTGAGGCCGCGGGCCGCCGCCTTCATGAGCTCGGTGTTGACGCGCTCCATGTAGGCGTAGGACAGGCTGTCCTCGTCGTCCCCATAGCTCACCGAGTGCACCCAGGGCAGCGCTGACATGTTGCTGAGCAGCAGCAGCCAGGCCAAGAAGGGCTCCTGGCTCTCGTGGCGCCCTGCAAGTACATTGGGGAAGGTACACGTGGGATAGCTCCTCTGACATCAGCGACGGCGGGAGACAGTGTGAGGAGCCCTGCCTCATCAGCACCAGCACCCTCCTTCGCAGTGCAGCCCCAAGTGCTCCTTCCTGTGGGCCATGGAGTCACAGCACATGCGGCCTGGAGCTCCATGAACTCATCCTGGGGCTCCTCACGTTGACAGCACTGAGCTTCAGCTCAGCCCATGGGGTTGGCAAGACTATCATCAGCCCAGGACAGGGGGCTACACTCACACCCCCTCTCTGAGACTCTGCCCCAGGGCTGCAGCCACATGGGCACCTGTGGGCCCAGCAGGGCCTCAGGTCCTCCTCTGGCAACAGGTCCCAGCAGAGTAGCGCATGTGCCACCTCCACAC